TAGTAATGAACGAACAAGTGGTGGTAGTGGAGCCGATGAAGAATGTCTTGATACCGATGATAATGATACAGTTGGTTTTGATGATGAAAATAACAATACTAATAAAAATTCAGTGGAACGTACAAAAGTTACCACTGAAGAAGATACAGAATTTATTAAAGCATTTGATGCATTAGTTGCTGAATCTGTTGCTGTAAGGTTTTTTTTTTGCTATTATTTTTGAATAATTATAATAAAATATTTATTAATAAATTAAATTAGCAACGTTCAAATGATTTAACGAAAATTCCAGCACCAGATATTCCTGTACCAGTACATTTAAGAAAAAATAAAATACCATCAACAACGACTATAAGTGTTTCACGTAAGATTTTAGATTTTTTTCCTTCTTCGCTTTCATTCTGTTTATTTATGTTTACTAGAAAGTGATGGTGATGATGAAGGTGACAACACTGTTAAAAAACCAGAAACAGTTAATTTTGTTGTTATGCTTAAAAAAAATAATAAACCTCAAGTAAATTATTGAAATATATTTTGATTTTGAATTTTTTTAATTAATACATTTTAGTTTTGTAATATGGCTGTTTCAAGTACATCGGAAATGGCATTAAAATTAAAAGCTCGTGAACAAGTAAGTTTCACAGAAGAATTTAATTTAATAATAAAATTTGGTTTTCTTTTATTTTTATTTATTTAGGCTGATCGTGAAGAAAAGGCTAAGTTGAAAATTCTTACACTTAATATGTCAACACGCATGGAACAACAAGAAAATGAACAAGGTTTGTTTATGAATAGAATATTTTTTTGTTTGAAATAAAGTTTTTGTTATAGAATTAATAATGAATGTAACGAATCGTGCACCACCAGCACCAATTTTAAATTTAAATCGAGAAAAGAAACCGAAATATATACCACCAAAAGGTGCTCCAGATGCTGATCTTATTTTTGGACCGAAGTAAGAAAACAAATTAAACAAGTTTTGATTTTTCAAGAAATTTTTGAGATTATTTGGATGACCTATGAAGTTACAATTAGTTTTCATTAAAATGAATTGTTATTAAAAACAAAAAACTTTAGCAAGATTAGCATTCAAATGGATAGTAGGAAGTTTTTAAAGTTTAATTGTAATGAAGAGAAAAATGTGAGATTAAGTTGTTACTCTATTTTTATTCTGATTTAGTGGGATCGAACATTTTTAGACACGATCGAATACAGTATTGGTCAAAAATATAAGACTAACATAATTTTATTTTTGTTTTTCTATGATACTGAGCATTTAATTTAAATTTAAATAGTGGTTTGAATAGCCAATGAAGTTCCCTTTGAAATATATACCATACCGAAATTTCATAGATGGAGTATGAGAGAAACGTTTCTAAAAAAATCAAACATGCTGGTTTTTAGACCAATAGAAGATTGCGCGAAAGTTAGATTTCAAGAATATCATCTTAAAGGGCAAGGAGTTCTGAATAGAATGAGAGTCGCCGTATTTCCTATGTCTTTTCCTTAAGAGTTATAAGCATCACAAAGCCAAATTTATCCTAGCATTGCTAAAAAATAATTTTTTGCTTTTTGTGTTACTTATAGCTGTGTAAGGGTAGATCGTAGTAAATGCAACAAACCCTCATGCACTTTTAGATGGTATTCTTGAAATTTAATTTTCGCACAATCTTCTAGGATCTGAAAACTACCGTGTTAGATTTTCCAGAAATCTTCCTCTCACAGTCCATCCATAAAATTTCTGTATAGAACGTATTTCATACAGAACTTCATTGGCTTTTCAAATCTCATTTAAATTTTAGTTCAGTGGTTGATATTGTAGAAAAACCTTGCAAATGCGTTGATCTAGTCAGTATACTCTTCGTCGAAAGTTACATCACCGAAATTCGGGATGTGATACACAACCGTTAATCTTGTATATATGACCAGTAATGCAGACTAATGAAACTGGTTTGAGCTCATAAGAAACCTATGATAATGATTATTTGTTTCTGAGTACATCTGTAAAATAACGATCAATTATATATATATTGTTCTTTTTTTTCTACAGAAAACGCTGAACGAACTCCAGTATGGAAATAACATCAGACTTCAACTATGATGCCTGATATCATCTAAACAGTTGGACAAATATGGTACTTATGCTATAATTCGATGCAACATTGAAAAAGAAAGTCTATTTGACAAGAAAAAAAGGATAAATATGTAATTAAGTAGTTTGTGCAGTGATTCACTGGAGAAAAAAAATCTTATTGAAGTCTGTGTTTTTTTTTGTTTTGTTTTGTCTTTTGTTTGTTCCTTTAATTTTTCTTTGATTTCTACTTCATCATAAAAAACAAATAACATTGAAACAAAGACAAGCAATTAGAAACAATCTCTCTTCATACATATTGTAGACTTTTGAATTTTTCTTTTTCTTGCTCCTGTTTGATTTTTTTTTGTTATTTTGTACCTTGTACTTATCTGCTTAAACAGTCGCCATCATTATGTGCTTTACTAACGAAGGAAGAGAGAGAGAGAGAAAAGAAAATGAAATAAAAAAAAAAAGAATCTGTATACAATTGTATTAGTTTAATATATGTAATGAATTACAACAATTTTTAAAGAAAATTTTTTTTAACTATTGAAAAGAGAAATAATTCTTATTCTTGTATTAATTTTGAAGAATTGTACTTGATTACGGTTTGTAATAGTTCGTTGATTTCTACAGTAAATGTGTCATAGACATGTTTCAAAAACACTATTGTCACAGCAGCAGCTTGTTTGTTTTTTGGACGAATGTAAAGTCGCATGACTTCGCACCCGATTTGAGTGTCTACAAGTTCAACCATAAGAATCGTGCTGAGCCTGATGGATTTAATCTAATTGTACTAATTTAACATAGCGACGAAAAAGATGTTCGAAGAGTTTCTTGAAGACCATCGCTGCAGCGGCAAGTTTTAATATAGTTCATCGTGTTGCGATAGTCTTGTCCATTCTAGGACTGCGGTAGATTTTCAGCTGCGATAGACATCTATCATATGTTAATAAGAAGACTAGTATCTAATATGCTGTATTTCTGTATTCGAAAAATATGGCATTGTTTTCGAATCGATCATTAGTTTTTAATTGATCCCGATGTTAGTCGGATTTTATGAAGAGTTTTTGTGACATTTTTAGCCTTGCTAATTTTCAGCTTTTACCATTGACAGGTAAATTGAATCCTGCCTTCCTCGTTGTCTTTTTTTTATAAATACTCAGCAAGCCGAAAAGCAATAGAAAACAACAAATATTTATAACTTTCATTCGTGTTTACATTGAAACTGATTTTGAGAAGTAAAATCGATATTATCATTGATCTATATCAATTTTGTCGATTCAAATCAATATGATAATTAAAGAGATATAATGTACATGTTTTTTTTAAAATTAAATGCATAGAAATGTGTCGATTGAATATATCCATCTTATCATTCAAAATTTTATTTTGATGCACAATTTAAAGAATTTTATGTTTAATCTAACCGTATAATAATTTCAAAAGTATTCTTAACAGATCTTTTCTTATTCATTAGTTTTTCATAAAAACGAACTTTGTAGTGCATTGAATGAACAATATTACTGACACTCAGTAATATAGGTAGTCGCATTTCGGTCATAATGCATCAAATGAAAAGAAGATAATAAACCCTTTACTGACCGTCATTTAAAGAATTTATTCTCGAATCATCATCGGTTTGAGTAGAATCTATATAATTATTCGGCTTAAACTAAATGACGTGTCAACAAATTAGTTCATTCTCACCGAATGATTTCATAACCGAAAAGAATCGAGCTCAAATATAATCCATTATATATATATAATATTTTATTAAAACTAATTAGTTTATAACCAAACCGATTGATTATCACCCGAGTTGGTTATTACATTGGGTGTGAATGTGGAAGTCAGTGTGAATGTGGAAGTCAGTGTGATGAGAACAACACCTACACCCATACTCACACCTGCATTTATAAGCTATTAGCTGGGATAATAATTAACTCAGATGTTTATCAATCGGTTTAGTGATAAACTAATTAATTTTAATAGAATGTTATTTATAGAATGGATCATATTTGATATGGATACTTTTCGACCATGAATTCTTTCGGCGATATTGGAACTGGTGAAACACTTAGTCGGCAAAAAATGGAAATTACTGTACCAATGATCATTGCTAAAATTTATATATTGAATATAAAAAATGAACAACAAGTAACATTTAATTCAGCACTGCACATCGTAATGCACTTGTAGTTTATTATCCAGGTTTATAATAAGCAATTCAATGGAGATAGATATATCCACTGTCCAGAAGTTAGAAATTAAGTAGAATTTAGTTTTTTTTTTGTGTATCAAGGACATTGCGATTATATATGCCAGTCTTTGCCGCCTCATGAGAGGGAGGTTGTGTAAGATAGTGTTTTAAACTACCCTCATTGTAGAATTCCTTGAATTCCACTTTAATTGCTGTTGAATTTTCAATTTATGGATCATGGATATAGCTAAGCGAGAAGGGACTGACTCGTGAGTAGAACCGATAATATTAAAGTTTATTAAACTAATCAATAAAAGATTTACAGAATGCATGTGATATTCCTTTTTTTTCTGTTTTTTATACACGAAAAATTTATATTAAGCTAATTAAACAAAACAAAACATTAAGTTCAATGTAAACTCTAATCTTATTTTGTTTTTGGTGTTGATCGTCTTGAATTCGTTTTTTTAAATATTTAAATCAGACGTGTAAGAAGATAAGCTTTATAATAACGATTCAAAAGTTTAGCACAGGTCACATTAAATAAGGATTTAAATAAACGTAGATGTGTATACCAAAACTTTCTATCGAATATACCATGTGTTATATGTACATCACCAAACTCAAAAAAAATTAGATTTTGTATACCATTCTATAAATGGTACTGATCGATCAAGACGATTCTAAGAAAATAAATGTAATATATATATATATATTAATCAGTTATTGACATACTAATAATCCTCGTTCATGAATTTTTAATTTTTGCCCATTAGTTGTCATATTTATATAATCAAATACAAACATTGTTATTAATATTTGATCCATATTCCATCCAGCACCTCCTCTTACTGTTGTTTCATCATATATTTTATGAAACTCTTGTCGTAAATAAAGTGAAATTATATCAAATGTTATTGTTTTATTTTCAGTTAATAATAATGAATCAATTTCTTTTCTTCTATATTCTTTTACTATTTCATATTCATAACTTTTATTCGTATATTGGTAGAAATTTTGGTTAATAATAATTAATTCTTTTTGTATAACAGACTGAAAAATCATTTCACGCCATAAATATCTTTTCATACATAAATGAACCATTGGTATCATATGATATGAACGATTTCGTCGAGAAAAAAAATCCACAACAATAACGATTAACAATAAAACCATCTGGATAACCTTTTTTCTAACATATATTGCTCACGGCGTATTGGTATTAAATCTGCATCACTAACTATAAAATAATCATTATCATTAAAAAACTCAAATGGTAAAAATCCAATAAATAAACGAATCGTTTGTGATATTTTTATAGCATAACTTTCTGGACATTGAAATTCTAATATTTTACCACCAAATTCATGAATATATTTTATCACAAGTTTAATATCATCAGGTTTTGTTTAACTTAATTTAATAAAATCGCCAACTAATATAACAATTACTTCATAACCTATTCGACGTCATGCAAGTGTTATTATAGGCATATAAAAACAGTAAGCTTCAACTGATGAATGAATTGAACAAGATACATATGCATATTGTTTTGATGTTGTTTCAACTCGTTCTTCTAAGATAACTTGTGTTGTTGTTGTTGTTGTGAAAGGGAGCAGTCGTAAAAGTTTAAATGGATCTGTAATCAGTAATGATTTGTATAGCAATATACTGAGTAATGCAATAGTCATACACAAAATACATAAAAAAATAATGATACATCGATAGAAAACCAGCTAAAAGAAAATATATAATTAATAAAAGTTTTTCTAATTGAAAATAAGAAAAAGTAAATGATTGACTCACCATAGAGAATCCATAATTTCGTTTTGACTGTGTAATAGACATTCACAAATAATTGTCCAATAATTTCGTGAACAAATCTTCTTTTGGAAATTTTCATTACTTTAATTCAATAAAAAAATAATATAATTGAGACTGAATATTGTACAATTAGAATATTATTATTTGTAACTGAGTTTCTTTTTTTGTAGACAATTTATCTTTTTTTATACTTTATCAGATTGAAAAATATTCTATTATATTAAAATCTTAGCATAAAATAGCGATAATTAGACGAATCACAATTAGTTGCATGTTTGACAGGAACATAGTTATTTTTTTTTTCTTGATTTTTCATAAATCTTAATTTACTACATACATTTGATTCAATCATACAGAGCGCAATGCGAACATATGAAATATTCACATTTTGAATTTATTGCAATGATACGAAAAGATGAAAATTATATTCCTTGTGGAATAGAGGAAAATAAAGCAGATAGATGATCGGAAATAAAGAGAATTTTTAAAGTAACTACGACTTGTTCTCATGTAACACTTTATGCACTATTAGAAGAGTCTACTAAACATTCATATTTTTACTTATCTCTTATGTTTCTTGACCTTCTTGAATAGATTGATAGTCATTTCTCTGTAATACTACTAATCAAATTATTGTTTTTTTTTGGACCATTTTATTCTTCAGCATTGTTTTCAATTCTACACTGCAGCAAATTTCTGTAGATTCAGCTCATTCTTTGGATTCTAATACTGCAGTATAAAGAGATATCAATGATTATCATACAAGAATCGCTAACTAGCAGACTGATAACCAGCTCATACAGAACTTTATAAAACAAAACTAAAGACGCCTATAAAGCTTTTTGATGACTTTTGACTACAGAAAATAATATATGTAAACATCTAGAGAAAGTTTTTTCTCTACAAGCCTATGTATATCCTATTCTGTAGACAGAATCTCATAGTTGCCTTTAGTCATTTACAAAGAAATCCAGCTGTTAATCAATCCTTTGAAAATATTTATGTTGGACGTTTATTTGCATTACCAGCAGTAGATTACCGGTCGAACAACAATTATCAATGTACTGCGATAGAGCGGCAATCAGAAAACAACTGATCGTTTAAGTATAAAGCTACTACCAATATGGTGCCCATTATACCGAATGGTTTACCAACGGATATTTTGTTCAATTTGAATCATATGAGTATTGACTAAAAGTCAAAAATTGCTCTGTTAGTACAATATGACAGTTTTGATATCGAAGATTTTTATAGCTAAATTAAAATTAAAATCTTCTATATTCGATTATCATTAGAAAAATATTACTTAGACTTTTTGAGGCAAAAGAGAACTTTTGAAAAAGTAAAAAAAAAAAAATAAGAAACAGTTCGATATAAAGTAGAAAAACCTTGATCTAACTAATTTTTAGATGAATTTCCCATTAGCATTCGTTTGATTAAGAATTTTCACTAGTCTAATTGAATTTTTATCAAGATTTTGCAGTAAACAATCTCATAAGTGCATAATTTATCTCCACGCAATTCAACATTTTATATCAACCATCTTGATTTTCTTCATTTTTAATCAGATAAATACTGAACAAACTCTAATGTTCGTATTCTTTCATTACTGTCACACGGTAATTATGTCTATATGAGAAGTAACGAAATAGAAAAGACAGATTTTTCTTCTTCTCTCATTTCGTTTTCTAACATAAAACGCAATGAAACGTTACAAAAAGATATGCCCATACGTGTGTATATGTCGCACCTAATATTCATGAAATATCATATAACGGAACAAAATTAATATTCATATGTCTAATGACTTTTTTGTACATTTTTTTCTGTATAGACGGAAAACTATCACGTAATAAATAATGACCGAGAATGGCGTGAACATTGTTGCTGCNCGTTTTCTAACATAAAACGCAATGAAACGTTACAAAAAGATATGCACATACGTGTGTATATGTCGCACCTAATATTCATGAAATATCATATAACGGAACAAAATTAATATTCATATGTCTAATGACTTTTTTGTACATTTTTTCTGTATAGACGGAAAACTATCACGTAATAAATAATGACCGAGAATGGCGTGAACGTTGTTGCTGCTCAAGGTTTTAAACAAGCAGCAATAATTTATGAACAAGCTCGACCATCATATCCGAATGAAGTTATTGATTTAATTAAGTCACTTTATAATAAACCAAATATAATTATTGATCTTGGTGCTGGTACAGGAAAATTAACACGTTTATTAGCTCCAATTGATGCTCAAGAAATAATTGCTATTGAACCAATATCAACAATGCGTGAAAATCTTAAACACATTCCTTTAATCACTAAAATAATTGATGGAACAGCTGAAAATATATCGTTTGAAGATAATACAATTGATATAATTCTATGTGGACAAGCATTCCATTGGTTTGCAAATTATCGTGCACTTACTGAATTAAATCGTGTATTAAAACCAAAGGGCTTACTTATACTTATTTGGAATTTAGCAGATAATCGAGAAAGACCATGGACAAAAATCATGTGGGAATATGTTGATTCGTTTCGATCAAAGGAAATACCAAGATATGAAACAATGGAATGGAAAAAAGTTTTTGATAATCAAAATTTATTTTCTTCATTACAACATAAACAATTTACTTATAAACATCATGTAACACGTGATTTAGTTATAAAACGAATGTTATCAAAAAGTTTTATTGCAACATTATCATCAGAACAACAAAAAACAATAACTGATGAAATTCGAAAAATTTTAGAGAATGTTGAAGAAATTCAAGATTTAGAAGAATTTGATTTAAATTATTTTACTGATGTTTATTGGTGTTCACCATTGAAACTATCGTCGCAATGATTTCATTCGCAATAAAAATGAATAAGTTTTTTTTTGCAAATTTTCATGATATTTGATTTTTTTGTTTTGAATAAAGTAATTATTGATGAGATTTACCTTGAAATATGAAATTCTATTCTTTCAAATATTTTTGTAAAGTAAAATTAATATTTTTTAGGATCGACGAGTATATTTATGTATAAATGTTAAAACGCAATTAGAATATGGGCAAATTTGAAATTTTCTTGGACAGAAATTGAACTCTTTTTTTTCAATCGAATTAATGTTCTACAACCGAGCCGAGTACTTGGCATCCATTCCAACGTGGAGTATGAATCTGGATGCAAATTCGTCGGGTCGAGTCAGGTTCAGATTTGAGATCATGTCCGAAAACTATTAGGCTGATGGAAAAAGCATTTATCTATGGATCAAAAAATGTGATGTTTGGCACCAACACTACATTTCATTACAGCTACATCAGCAACAAGCAAAAATATATTTAGCGAAATAGATCAGATTTTAGAAGCAGAAAAATTCCAAATGAATTATGAATCCTCTTGCATTTTTGTGAAATTTGAGATGAAGATCCTTCTTTGTTGCTGTTTGTGGAAGAAATTAAACAGTATATTATTTCATATAAAGTAAAAGTGTGATAATTGTACGATGACTGTGAGGCTATCTGCGAAATGTTAATTAACTTCTGTCCAAGCTCGAGCCTGAAAAATCGCACCCTTACAGGACACTAGTTGGAATAAAAGTCGAACTTGACTCAATTCATACAAACATATTTGAATAGCATGATTACTTTTTTTTTTTTATTGAACAATATCATTTGATTTCATCAAACAATTTACAAATCAAAGTACTTTAGTCTATTCAATAATACTTGTACAACCATTTTGAGGGTAACGATATGAAGATGGAATTAAATGAATTTCTTTACTCACCTATACATTACCTTACTCTCATTCTCGAGATAATTGTATTACTGAATAGACAAAAGTTCGGTGACTTGTAAATTGTTCTTATCAAATTCCACAATACTGTTCAATATTAAAGATTAAATTATAATTTCTAATTTAAGACATTTCAAAAAAAAATACAAAAATTACATTATTTTTAAATAATTAATAGTTCAATTTTATCTTTCTTTTCTTTCAGTAAACATTTAGAATAGACTTATCACGTAAAACTTTACTTCTTCATAGATGACTCACTCAAATATGATTATTCCTTCAGATTTTTCATTTACTTATTCACTTTTAATAATCAATGGAATATAATAAATCAAAAAATAAACACACATATGAATATATAAGCAAAATAAGATTGTTGACATCCATAATTTATTGAATTAATATTCATCAATAACCAACGATTCCTAATAAACATCATTCATGATCTACCATAGCTACCATAACAAGAATCTAAACCAATAGATTTTTACCTTTTAACCAAAACAAACTTCGTAAAGAACGAACAAATCCGTATGCTTTTCCTTCATTGCTTATTCCAATACAAAATCATACTATAAAATCAGGCAATCGACTATTATATATTAGAATAATAACTTAACGAAAGTTTATTTGATTCCATAAGGATATTTTTATCCATTGTACACTTGATATCATCTATTAAATTATCATTAACAGACATTCAAATTAGTAATATCTAACATTGAAAATAAACATCAAACATCTACATCAATTATCATTCTTGTGGAATCATAATTCGGATATTCATATTTTTGAACGATTGATGGTAATTAACTAATTCTTATGGATAAGTCTTACGTACAACAATAATTATATTCGATATTATTGATAGTGTTGATTTACAATCTGTTATCATAATACTAAAAAATTTTGAAATCATAAAATCAGTATAAATTTCAGAATTTCTGTAACCTGAAGAAATAATTTCAATTCTACTTGTTGATCACTAACAATATTTAATCTCATCACTGATTCTTTCTTGTATGCGAACAAACATTTTCTTTGAATTACACAAAAATAAGACATTAAAAGCAAAAAATAAATAAAATAAAAACAAATAATAAGAGCATTTTGTTTTTTTGTATAATGATTTTCAATTGATTTATGAGTTCATATATTATTCATTATATTTGATTTACTTTATGATTTAATCATGATATAAACAAATATATTTTTCATAAATAAAAAAATTCTTTTTTGTTTAATGTCCTTTTTCAACAGGTAAACATGTAAATGAAAAAACAATGCTTTTTTTAGCCTTCCATCACACCGAATAATCAAAACATTGACAAAAACCATTACCAGTGATTTCTTTTATTTTCTATGCAAAAAAAAACCAAGATATTAGGAATTTATATATAAAAGAAAAGACAATCCATCTTATTTATGTTTATTTATTTAAAAATATGTTCGTTTTTTTTTTACATATATTTTGAAACAAGACTATCCATACTATTTGTAGGAGTTTTTTCAAATGCTGTCGCTGCTCTCGGAGGTGGTGCTAATTTAAGACCAAAATTTCCTCCTGTATAATGATCGCGTGATGTCGTCGTAGCTGTATGTGGTCGTTCTAATGTTGTCATTGTGCTTTTTACCGTTTGCATTGAATGATTTGGATATGGTTTTTGTGGTAGTTGATCGGATCCGGTCGATATAAGACGAGGTCCAGCACTTTGTGCACGTTGACGAGGTGTTACAATATAGTTGTTATTATTATTATTATTATTATTATTATTCGGGATAACACGAGGTTGTAATGAAATAGGTACAACAATATTAATCACTTTATCATTTGATATAGGAGGTTTCTTATCATCATGTATATTATTCCATACAAGACATGATGCAACACTTGTACTACGTTGATTACGTTGTTGTTCTAAAAGACGTGTACGTGTTGTTAAAAATCTTTCAAATGTTTCTCGACGAATTTGTTTTGATTGTTCGGCATCAGGTTGACCATGTCTATAAGTATTTGCATAAACAGTTGTTTCTGGTGAAGAGGATGGTGATACTGTGGTTTTTTCGTTATCATTAGTTATTGGTTGTATTAATTGAATTTCAGATAGTATATGTGGCGTAGTTGAATCACGATTATAATCATCAGCATATGATGTTATTTTAGCATCATCAACAAATGCTTGACGATCAACATTTTTTGGTATCCAACTAACAAATAATGGATCGAATTCTCCGCGTACATTAGTTTGCGCTTTTCGTTTACCGAAACCCTTTAGATGAAGAATTTTTAAATATTAGATTAAATTTGATAAATATATATTTGTTTTATATTTGTTTACCGATTGGGTGCCACGAACAAGTGGATCACATTCAAATTTAAAACGATTATCATGTCGAGAAAATGCATGAGTAGTAGCTTCAGCCTTAAATTGAATGAAAACAAAATACATAAATAAAAGAAATTTATTTTACTTTTTGTCGATCAACAAATTTTTTAGGTGGATTAGGTCGAGCTAATTGTCGAAAATAATTGCATAAATCAGCACGTGATCTAGCTCTAAAGTGTCCATAATAACCAGATGGAAACTGAAATCAATAAATACAATTGATAATTTAAAAAAAACATACGATCGATATGTGTTTAGTAAGATTTCTTACCCATGAACCAACAACTCTTTGGGCATCAGTTGATGTGGCTAATGATACTTGTCTAACTTGAACTTGACTCATATCTAGTAACTATCGTTTGTGATCAAATACAAAATTTTAAACGTTGACCATTTGTTTGTAATCCATACAAAATAATATATGCCTTTCGTGTTTGTGTTGTTAACAGCGACACACGACGACGACAACGCCGTCGTAGAAAAAAAGAGAATTGAATGAGAAAGAAAGACAAACTAAAGAGAGAAATTGTTGTGAACGACACTTAAAAAAAGACTTTCTACTACACTGACACTGTACTGCTTGCAAAATGAAGCAATACTACTAATTTTCCACTTTATTCTGTTGATTCAAAGACAGAACAAGAGAAAGAAGATTAATTTATAAAAAAAAAAGCTTGTTCTGATATTTCATTTGAAGCCAACAAAATCATTCTATATAGGTATTCATTAGATGGTTTTAGACATAGGGATGAATGTTTTTGTTAAATTTCATTTTTATGATTGTAAAAGACAAGCATGCAACGATTAGAACATCCATTAAAAGAAAGATCAAGTATTTATATAGAATTTCAGATTCAAAACTTTTAATATATCATCGTTTGTAAACACTTAAAACTAAAATTACTCTTTTTTGTTATTATTTTAAATGGCATAGCAATTAAATAAAAAATAACTATTCCTTATCACTGACTTGCTTACCAAAATAAAAATTTGTAGGAAGAAGAAAAGTTTTTTTTTATAGTCCGATAAAGATTATTTGTATTTCATACGAACATAATCCTTTTTCTTTTATAGCTATGCATTCATCACGATATATATATATATATAGTAAATAACAAAATTATTCAATAAAGTTTTTTTTTTCTCCACTTAAGTTCTAGAAAAAAAAATTCAAGTAGAGAAAATTGTTTCCAATAAGAGTTGAAGTAAATGAAAATTTCCAAAGACAGAATATCCAGAAAATCGAAACTCTAGGTCTTTAGTCTAGCATGCATAATTACAATTCCATTTAGACTAAATAGAATCATAGATAAAAGAATTCTCTACTAAAAGAGATATCTTCAAGCTTTCTACGACGTTTTTCTGATGAGATACAGTAAACTATTGAAAGTCCAATTTTATGGGCTACGGTAATATTGCTGTATCTCAATCAAAAAAATGTCATAGCGACCTTAGAGGTATCTCGTTTTGTAGGAAATTGTTCGCTCTATGATTCTATGTAGTCTAAACGAAGTTACCTGTACGGATTCTAGACTCTAAAAACCTAACATTTCGATGTTATGGAGATCCTGTTTTTGGTAATTTTTATTTTCTTGTAGTCTTGTTGGAAACAATCTTTTCTACTTGAATTAAAATTTGAATTTTTTGAGAACTAAAGTCAGCGGAAAAAGAAATTGAAAAGAAACCTTGTTGAATAGTTTTGATGTCGATTGTGTATAAATCAAGTAAGGACATAAAATGCTAATTCAGCCAAATATAGGCTACTTTATTTTATTTTTGTATAAATTAAATTTATATTTATTTTGTCTACCGCGACAGTTTCATTAAGCAATGTCCAAAAATATGTGATGAAATTCATCTGTAAAACTGTGGTTATACACTCTGAAGTATAAAATCACTCTTGTGAAAAATATAAGACATCATGTAACAAAAATTTCTTCACAGTGAATTAATGAAAAATGACTTACAATAAATATGATGAATGTGTCAAAAGTTTTTTTATAGGCAAAGAATTTATTAAAAGTTTGACTGTTTTAACAACAATAGTTTCAATATATGCAGATTGATTTTATTTTAAATGAAAAACATGTTTTGATAGAGACTATAATTAAATATTGTTCATCTATGACAACAATAGTACAAAGAAGATTGATTAATATACAAGTGAAATAATGAATTTTTATAATCTAAAATAGCTTTAAATAAACAAAAATATCAATTCTAAAAAAGGAAACATAACTGGTCTGTTTCTTGTTTTTCGAATCATTTCAAGCATTAATATAATTTTGTGCCAGCAATGTTGTTAAACTATATATGCATTAGGATTAATTAATAATATAAATTTGATTTATATTAATTATGTGCAAACTAAAATTCTATGTTTATCAATAATTCGTTCGTATGTTGGATTGAAAATTTTCCATAGATAAACTTTTTAAAAAAAGAATAGAATACAATTACAAATAAACAAGAAAGAAAAATTTTTATCATAATTAATTTAATTCTTCGATAGCTCTCAACAAATGACTGATGCCATCTTTCGATAAGTAATCTTTATTCATAGAGATGAAAAAAAAAAGGCATTGCCATCGTTTTAAACACTGACAATGGTAACTCATTGACAACTATGAAAATTTGTTTTTTTTTTCTTTCTTTCTCTCTTTTTCTCTTGTTTCCTCTACGTTTCCTCTCAGTTTTTAGTGTATACTATACGTTTGCTGTAGGTGGTTTATTGAACGACAACATATAAACTTTCAAAATTTATACCTAATTCCACTTGACTCACAATGGCGTAAATTTTTCTTTCAGACAATAGAGATCTCATTCATAATAAAACCATGGATATGTATACAAATTCATGTGGCCTTCAACATATTGTTGGTTATGGCTCAAATTCAGTTGTTATCGCTCATCATAATCATAATCATCACAACGATTATAATCATTTTCATTCACCACCTCCACGACCACCACCACCACCACGACCAATACCAAAAGCAACATCTTCTTATCAATTGGTACCTCTTGGAATTGCAACACCTTTGATTATCAATGTTCCAGTTCAACAACCAAGCAAACAACAACACCAATCACAAGGTAACTATCTTTCAATATACATATCTTTTTTTTTAATCTTATTTTTGTAGTAGCTATTCGAGATCCATTTATTCTCGAACAAAATCGAACAAGTAAATCAGTTAAAATATTGAACTATTTCATTTAATTTCTTTTGAATTAGATCGAGGAACATCAGCATATATTCCTAGATATAATTCTCTTGACGATCCACATATGCAAGACTATTATGCCAAAAAATTCGGTCGACGATCAAAATCGTCAAAGAAACGTTTAACTCGTTCAGATGCACTTTATCGTATAACAATTAAAACAGCTAATGTTAAAGATGCCGGAACAAATGCAAAAGTATTTTTAAGCGTATTTGGAAGTAAAGATAAAATTTGTCGAAAATTATTAACACGTGAAACAATGTTACGTGGTCAAACTCAACTTTCATTATCATTAAATGGTCTTGATAAAACTTATGATAATGATTTGTATCATATTGAATATAAACGTGGAGCTACAGATGTTGTTTATATTCGTTGTCGAGATCTTGGTATTATTCATTATATTAATCTTGAAGTAAAACAAAACAGTTTTATTTTCTAAAATAAAATTTCTAAAATTTTTCTTTTTTTTTTCTTAGCATACGGGTCTTTTATTTGAACAAAGTTGGTTATGTGAATTTGTTTTAATAACAAATGTTCGTACTGGTCGTTCATGGTTTTTTCCATGTAATAAATGGTTATCATTATTTCCACCTGGTGATGGTTCTCTTTCGATAGAACTTTTTCCTAATGATCGTGCCTTTGACAATAATCTTAGAAGTAAAATTATACCAGCAGTGACCGGTAAAAACTATTAAAATTGAACAATTTCATAGAATATTTGTTTCTTCTTTGATTGTTTAATTTTTCTCTTCTAGAATATCAAATTACTGTTATTACAGGAGATAAAAGAAGTGCTGGTACAGATAGTCAAGTTTATATAACATTATTTGGAGATAATGGAAAACGAACAGAAAAACTTCATTTAAAAAAATCAGCTACTAATAAAAATCCATTTGAACGTAATCAAACAGATGAATTTCGTGTTAAAGGTGATTATGTTGGAGAATTAGTTAAACTTCGTGTTGAACATGATAATACAGGTCGACTCGCTGGTTGGTTTCTTGATCGAGTATGAAGATATTATTTTTTTTTTCTTTCTTTTGTTCCATATTAAATAAAAACACTTTTTTCTTATTTGATTAGATTGTTATAACAGATATGTTCGATCCAACAACAAAATATTTTGCAAATTGTAATAAATGGTTAAGTAAAGATGAAGGCGATGGACAAATATCCCGAGATCTTATGTTATATAAAGATATAAATAAAGGAGGACGAAGTAAGAAAAATAAATTGAATTAAAATCTTTTTTTTATATAGTTTTGTTTGTGTCTTCTAGGTAATAAATATAGGATAACAGTTTATACAGGAAAAAAACTGGGTGCTGGAACCGATGCTGATGTATTTATTACTCTTTATGGTGATTTAGGTGAATCAGGTGCCATTGTACTTGATGATAAAAAAAATAATTTTGAATCTGGACAGTAAATATGACGATAATTTTTGATAAATGTTTTAAATATTCTCTTTTGGCATTTATTTTTAATAGAAAAGATGAATTTACAATTGAATGTTCAAGTGTTGGCGAAATAAATAAAATTTTAATTGCACATAATAATAAAGGCTCAGGACCTGGTTGGTTTTTAGATCGTATAATAATTGTAGACCTTGCTGAAAATCGTACATATGAATTTCCATGTTATAAATGGTTAGCAACAGATGAAGATGACGGACAAATCTCCCGTTTTCTTTTTCCCAAAAAAGGAGGTGCTGATGATAAACATCCAACAGCAGGTAAATAAACTTAAAAAAACTAAAGAATTAAATATTTTGTTTTCTTTATCAATTTTTATTTTAATTATATTTAAAGATGAGGGTGAGTAAAAACCCACGTATATACAGCATATGTGTCCGCTTTAATTATAGTTATTATTATAATTAAATATATAAGAAGAAAAATATATGTTCGCTTGTTTTAGGTATTCCTTATAATGTAACAATTTATACGGGTGACAAACTAAATGCTGGTACTGATGCACGAGTTTATATTATTATGTATAATAATGAATCAACATCAAGTCAAATATTCTTAAGTGATGGAAAATTTGAAAGAAAATCTATTGATTTATTTAAAATTGATGCTCCAGATAATCTTAGTCCATTAACTGCATTGGATATTGGACATGATGATAGTGGCATGGGACCTGGATGGTATCTTGATAAGGTTTGTTAAGAAAAAGAAAAAAAAAACTTAAAATTTGCATTGTTGTTTTTGAAAATATCGTAACTATTAACCAAATATACATGTGCATTTGAATATTGAAACAAGGCTAATAATAAATAGTTATAAAACATTATTATTATAAAGATGTTTAAAAAGAAAAGAAACATCACTGTTCTTTAGTTTTATTAATGTTAATAAATAAATGAAATTTACATAATCGAATATCCGATGTGATTATTTCGCTGACTGATGATAAAAGTTTTTAAAAAAATTTATCTACGAATAACTCTAATGTTCTCATAGAGCTTTATTAAAAGATTTAATTTTTTTTATTTTGTAGCCAACTTGAATAATTTAAATAGAGACATCAATAAGACTGACTTTGTCATTCGAATATCTAGAAAGAACCTAAATTAATAAGAATAAGTCTTTGAAAAAACATTAGAACAGACTGATAGTCTTGTCATCATATTATAAGAAATCTTTTGTATTTTATTAGCTTTCGCTATTCTTGTCATCGATACCCGAAATTAAATTCATGTACTTCATATTTTAATCAATATTTGATTTATATTCTTTTCGATATTTATTGACTTAATATTGATTTAACATTTTAGGTTGTTGTTGATTGTCCAAGTACAGGTATAGAGCAAACATTTCCTTGCAATAATTGGCTAGCTAGTGACACTGGTGATAAATGTATTGAACGTCGATTAAAAGAAGATCAATCATTACGTAAAACTCGTGCACCAAGTAAGTTGGAAAATAATATATTTTTTTCTTCGTATACATAGATATTTATATTTTTTCTTTATTTCTAGCTGTTCCATGGTACATATGGATATATACAAGTGATATTAGAGGAGCAGGTACAGATGCTGAAGTAATTCTTGTTCTCTATGGTCATAATGGAAAGTCTCATAATATTAAATTACGAAGTAAATCTGATGTATTTGAAGCTGGTCAGTGTGATGAATTTAAAGTTGATATAACTGATGTTGGTACACCATTTAAATTACGTGTCAGTCATGATAATAAAAAATTATTTGCACCGTGGCATCTTGAGCGAGTATGAGAAACCATAAAAAGAAATTTTTGTTTTGCTTTATTTGAACATAAATTTAGATTGAAATGCAAAATCTTGTTACAAATAAACGATATAAATTTCATTGTGGAAGATGGTTATCGAAATCAGATGATGATAAACAAATTATAAGAGAATTACCTGCTGAAGGTCCAGGAATATCAAAGCCTTTACCGATTGTTAAATATACGGTTGATGTATATACGGGAAATAAATCTAGTGCTGGAACAGATGCAAATGTTTTTATTAATATTTTTGGCGAATGTGGTGATACGGGAGGTTAGAAATTCGATATGAATTTAATTATTTTATTTTAAATAAACCTTTGTTTTTATTATTATTTTTTTAGAACGTCCATTAGAATATTCAGTAAAAGGTGGAAATAAATTTGAAAAAAATAAAGTAACTAAATATCATTGAAATAATATTTTAGAAAATATTTTCATTTTTTATTTTCTAGGTTGATAGTTTTATTATCGAAGCTGTTTCATTAAAACATATACGAAAAATTCGAATTGGTCATGATGGATCTGGTTAGTTAATCAATTAAAATATTTTTTCTTTGTTTACTTTGGTTCTTTTACTTAATATAATCATGCAATAGGGCCGGGTGCTGGATGGTTCTTAGATAAAGTTGTCGTTCGTCCAGAAGATCAACGTTATGAACCAGCAACATTTGAATGCAATAGGTATATGAGCTAATTGAAACAAAAAAAAACAAAGAATTTTTAATAAAAATAATATTTTTCTAGATGGCTTGCTACTGATGAAGATGATGGACAACTCGTTCGAGAATTAACTCTTAAAACAGCAGCACAACATTTAGATAAAACAACATATAATGTTAGAATAAAAACGGGAGACATTTTTCAGGGTGGAACTGATGCTGATGTATATTTGAAAATTTTTGGTGAAAATGGCGATACAGATATAATTCAACTTAGAACAGCTAATAATACATCAAATAAATTTGAAAAAGGACGTACTGATCATTTCACACTTGAATTTGATGAACTTGGCAAAGTTAATATTTCGTGATGTTTTTATTTTCTTATAAAAATAGCTTTTTTTGATTATCTATAGATTCAACACATAATTATTGGACATAATGGAAAAAACTTAGGAGCAGGATGGTTTCTTGACTGGATAGAAATCGATATACCAATGCGCGGAGAACTTTATAGGTAAGTTTTATGCCAAAAACTTTATTTTAAAGCTTTATTAATCGTAGTAGTAATCCTAATAAACAGATAAAGACTTCAGGAGAATAAGCTTTTCTTTTTTATTTCGGAATCCCTTCAGTAGTAGATTAATGTTATTAATAATGTGAGTAAGTATTTTATATGTCGTTCTAAACGATTTCTTTCAAACAATTGATCACAATTTATGAGGCAGTTTTGCAAGATAAAAATACAGCATCATGAAGAAAGTTCTGCAACTGATAAAGTGCTTTTGAGTTGAGACTATGTACATTACGTAGATTCAAGTGAGCTATGAATATCCTAAAAAACTTCGTGTGCTTAGCTTCTTGTTGCAAAGATACTACATTTACGATATTTTTAAAAAGAATATCACAGTTCTTTCAGAAAAACTGATTTTCGAATTTCAACTTGAAAAATTGCATACAGTATAGACTTTAACAAGAATAGTTTCATGTCCTTTAATTTGTTTCTATTCTGAACTAAGAACATCAAATATACGCTATTACCGTAGTTATATCTTAGGATAGGAACCATAACAAGATCCGAAACTTTCACAATAAACTATCCTTCTTAAGACTTGTCGAGTTGAAAAGTTTCAAGTCAACATTCAAAAAACCAATTTTTCTGTGATAGCGGCATTCACTTTAATAAATTCTGTAAAAGTGCAGTATCACCGCAGCAATAAGCTAAGAGCTAGAATTCTGTTTAGAGCATTCATATCTTATTTGGATCTACATTATACACTTAGTCTCAACTGAACAGTGACTAGCAGTTGGAGCAATTTTCTTGTTAGCTTATATCATACAAATCAATTAATAGAAAAAGTATGATTTTAATGTTTCAGCTCTATATCCTACTTGCTACCTAAGTAAAAAAAATGTTTACTCTGTTTTTTTTTCAATAGATTTGTATGTAATCGTTGGTTAGATAAAAGCGAAGGCGATGGTAAAATTGAACTTGATTTAACACCATCTGATGTAATCAAGAAAAGTCGTGGTAAATTATTGAATATGATTTTTGAAAGTTTAGCTGAAGAAAATAACTAATATGTATTCATTTAAGTTATTCCATATGAAGTAACAGTTTTTACTGGTGACAAAAGTGGTGCTGGTACAGATGCGAAAGTATTTATTCAAATTTATGGTTTAAATGGTAAAACAGAAGAAATTATTTTGAAAAATAAATCGGATTCATTCGAACAAAAAGCGGTAGAAATTTTCTCGAAACAAAAAGATAATCTTTCTATGTTTAAAATAATTTGAATTATTTATATTTCAGGTAGATAAATTTAAATTAGAAGCTCCTGATATAGGACAAATACAAAAAATTCGTATTGGTCATAATTCAGAAAAATTCGGTTCAGCATGGTATCTAGAAAAAGTAAAGTTGTATTTGATTTTTATTTTCATATTGCATTAGAAATTTTCATTTAGGTACTTATTCAACGACATTTAAGTGAAGAACCTGATAAACGAAAACGAGGTTAAACTTTATAATGAAATTTTAAGTTTTTATTCATCAAATATACATATGTAGGTTTTAAATCTGGTCGATCACAACGTCTTAGTCAAATAAGTGCAACTGATCCAAATGTTGAAGAATATTGGTTTGTTTGTCGACAATGGTTTGATAAAAGTTCAGGTGATAAAGCAACTGTTCGAGAATTATTACCAACTGATGAACAGGGAAATCCATTAGCCAATCGAAATGGTAAAATAAGAAGTTTTTTTTTTACTTTTTCATGTGGCAAGAAACAAGACAAATTTTTTGCTTTGTTTAGAGATAACATATATGGCACATGTCTTTACTGGTAACAAGTCTGGTGCTGGTACAGATGCAAACGTTTTTCTAACAATCTATGGTGAATTTGAAGATACAGGTAGAGAATGCAATTGCTAATAAGATTTCATTGAACTGTTTATGTTTTGAAGGTGAACGTGAGTTACGACAATCAAAAACAAACAGAAATAAATTTGAACAAAATCATGTTTGTTTTCTTCTGTTTCGACTTTTTTAATAAGCTATTCTTTTATCGTTCATATTGATTGTAGGAAGATGTTTTTGACATCAAAGCTGCATCATTGGGCAAATTGACAAAAATTAAAATTCGACATGATGACTCAAATGTATGATTATTAAGTAACGACTGATCTTCACAAAATTCTAGAGTTTTAATGAAGAAAAAAAAAGATTCTACTTTTAAATCTAATGAGTTTTTCGAGAAAGTAAAGTCATGTTTATATGAACAATTTAATTTAGGGGATGGAAAATGTTTCAACTGTCTTTCGAAGAGAGTAAGACATTAAAACTATACAGTTTTTAGCTCGTTATAAGTTTTGAGTAGATTCAGCTCGATTCGATTCGAAACTTTCAAAAAATTCTACTTTAGTTTGATTCCGAGAACAACCTGAACCGGTCACACCCTTACAGCAGATTATCGTTTTTCTGTTCTATGATCATAATATCTCGCTGCTTGACTTCATATCATATATATACTCGGGAGATTGAACTGTCACTTTTAAAGTGAAATACTATAAGAGTCGAATGAACTGTATTGATACTTCTAATATTAAGTATCCTTTGTAGTAGATAAGAGCACTTAACTATTGAGGTAAACAAATTTGGTCCTTGTACGGCCATTTGCAATTAGAATACGATATGTAAACAAGCTGTATACCATCACAATACTTCATACAGAAATACGGCCGTATCGTAGTGAGATTACGACACATTTACGAACGTATACAACGAAAATACAGCATCATACACCGTGCTACATTACTGTGTCCGGAATTATGAGAAGATATGTTGAGTTTGCTGCCATAAATTTACTCTTTTTCCATCGTTTACAGTCAGAAAACGAACTATAAACAATATTCGTTTCGATCGAGCTGGGTAGGCAAGATCGAATATTCAAGATAGATTTTTATACTTCGACTTCATAAAATAAAGCTTTATTCAGAAATTGAAAAGATAAGATTATTTTTTTATTGCTTTTCGGCAATTTCCAGAAGAAACTACGAATAAATTATTAAGCATTCTCCTAAGTGTTTGAGATGATGAAAACAGTCTAAGTTTAGTTCTGTTTAAAAAAAAAGATTTACTAGCGACACTCCTTTGGAACTTACATATGTTCTTTAACTTCACCACATTAACACAAAATATGTCATAAAGTGAAAAATTTCTAATAAACAATAATTATCTTCTAACGATAATTGATTACCAGAGAAACAACCTATCTTATATTTTTTTATGCATTTCGGAGAGAGGTTTTTTACGGATACAGATATTCTTCATTTGTCTGGTTGCTATTCATTTTCTTTTATTTGACTTCTCTTAACTTATTATTCTGATTATTCTTCTCATTATTGATTGAACTGTCAATAAATGTAGAAAAACTGATACAGATTATTTTCGAACAGTAGAAGTTGACAAGTTTATGTTTTTCAGTATTGATTAAATGATGACTATGACAAATCGATTCATCACTAAACATCATCCTTAATATCTAGCATGTTATCTTTTATCAACTCTATTCAGACCTTTGAAAAACGTGTTCCAGCCATTTAAATTTCAAAAGATGCTGTAGAATTTGTTAGAACAGTCTAAGTCTTTTTGTTAATGCAATTCAGCACTCTTTTCCACTGCTAAGAAACTATGATAAAAGAGCCTAATCTTCGTTGTCGTCCGCTGCTAAAGAAATATTCGTACCCAATAACTTTTGACTATAGTTGCTAAGGTTTGTACGGAAGAGAGATAGGATGGAGCAGAAAAACTTCAACTTAAAACTTACACTCGCTATTTTTTGAAAGAAAAATCTACATAAGTTTTCGAAAAAAAGAGTTATTGTTTCTGTAAGTTGATTTGCTTCTATAGTTTGGTTCTGCATGGTATCTGGATCGAGTGGAAATTGTTGATCCAGAAACAGATCAAACGTAAGTGTTGAAATTGAAAATCAAAGTCAAAATTAATCAATAGGATTTTTTTTTCATTATTTAAAGGTATCATTTTATATGTCAAAAATGGTTGGCTACTGATAAAGAGGATGGATTGATATGTCGTGAAATTCCTGCACTTGAAAATAAAGCACTACGTTTAGCAGCTGCACGTGAAAGTTCAGCTGGATCATCAGTTGATTATGGTTTAGAAATGAAAAGTAAGTTTTTCTCAAAATTGATTAAATAAATCATTAAAAAGTATAAATCATATCCGTACTCTTTCACTTCGGATATCTTCTTTTCTCCAGCACGTATTCATCGTGGTTCGTACAATTAACATGTATCATCAAATTTATCTATTGTTTTTTTGTTTCTTCGGATTTGTATATCGTCAGCAATTATTTGAAATTGCCATAACAGTTTTCTTGTTTGACTTGGCTTTTCTTATCAATTATGTCTTATTGCTATTTTTGTTGTTTCCCGTTTAAAATAGAAATTCTCATTATAATTTAAAGTTTATCCTTTTCCCCTTTTTTTATATTTGTTTAAATTTTTTTTTCAATTGATTTTTATTCTTTAATCACAGCCATAGCGACTACTTATAAAATTAGTGTTATTACGTCGAATGAATTTGGTTCTGGTACAAATGCTAAAGTTTATATTATCATATTTGGAGAGAAGAATGATACAGGTTTAATTGATTTATTCGATAAAAATGAAAGGAAATAATAATTGTTATATTATTAATAGGCAAAGTCCCATTGGTAACATCAAAAACACATAGTGACCCATTCGAACGAGATCACACTGATGAATTCGAAATTGAAGCTATGGATATTGGTGAACCAACAAAGATTAAGTACAGAGAATTGTCTCAAAAATAAAATTATTATGTCTATATGTTGTTGTTCAGAATTGGTCATGATGATTCAGGTTTTCGACCAGATTGGTTATTAGAACGAGTTCAAATCGATGTACCAAAATTGGGTCGTACATGGATATTTCCATGTGGAAAATGGTTAAGTACATCAAAAGGTGATTGTCAATTAGAAGCTGAACTTTATCCACAAACTATGGCAACTGAAGTTTATACACCACGTAAGAATAAAAAGGCCAATAAGCAACTTTTCTATTTTTCTAAAACTATTTTCTATATAGATGTTCCATATGAAATAAAAGTTTTTACATCAAAAGTTTCTGGTGCTGGTACCGATGCTAATATTCATATTGAAATATATGGTGTTGAAAAAACAACTGGTCAAGTTGTGTTATGTAGTAAAACAGATCGGAAAGGCAGATTTCAAACAGGTTCAGTAGATACATTTGTTCTTGAACTTGAAGATGTTGGCAAAGATATTGAAAAAATTCGTATTGGACATGATAATCGTGGTTTGGGTAAAAATAGAAAAAAGAAGCAAATTGCATGGTATTTAATTTATATTCTTTTTTGAAACTAGGTGCTGCATGGCATTTAGATCATGTTGAAATTCGTCGATTAGACAAAAATCAAAAAACTAAAACATTTATATTTCCATGTCGTCGTTGGTTTGCTAAAGATGAAGATGATAGAAGTATTGTACGTGATCTTCTTCCAGAAAAAGTTATTGAAGAAAAACTTGATAAAAGTGGACAATTACAAGTTCGAGAAAGAGAAATTCAAGATCAACTTGAAAGTATAAAAGAAATAAAAGAAAATCTTAACATTTAAAAATGTTTTCTTTCTAATTTATTCTTTTAGTGAAACAATATATAGTTGATGTTTATACAGGAGATAAATTTGGTTGTGGTACAAATGCAAATGTTTTTTGTACAATTTATGGTGATAAAGGTGATACAGGCGAGCGTGAATTAGCACATTCTGAAACTCATACAGATAAATTTGAAAGAAAACATATGGATAGATTTAAAATTGAATGTGCAGATTTAGGAAATATTTATAAATTTAAGATACGACATGATAATGCTGGAATATCACCTGATTGGCTTCTATCTAAAGTTGAGGTCAAAGATGATATAAGAACATATGTATTTTATTGTGAACAATGGCTAACTAAAGGAAAAGATTCGAAACTAGAACGAACACTTTATGAAAAAGTAAAGACGAAAAGTTTATCTTTTAGTTTGTTTGCTCTTACTATAGTTATTCTTTTTTGTTCTGTTAAGGATTATCAAGGTTCAATGAGTAGTTTAGGATCGATTCCTCGTTCTGTAACTGGTTCCAAAGCAAGTTTAGCATCAAATGATAGCGATTTTAAAAATGAACCATTTCGACGTGCTCAACGTAAGAATATCATGTCAAGTATAGCCGAAGAAACTCGAAGTACAACTGAAGAAGGTATTCCTTACACTGTTAAAGTTAAAACTGGCGAAAAATCAGATGCTGGTACAACAGCTAATGTATTTATGCGTTTAATTGGTCGTAAAGGTCGACAAACACGTTTAATACCATTAGAATTGATGCAAAGACAACATTTTGAACGTGGAAAAGTTGAAACATTTTCTTTACAGGAACCTGATATTGGTGATTTAGAAATTGTTGAAATAGAACATGATGGTGAGACACTAGCTGATAGTTGGTTTCTAGATGATATTACTATTGAAATGCCAACAAAAGGACGAGCATTTTATTTTACATGTAATGAATGGTTATCAAAACATAAAGGTGATGGACGAACAAAACGTACACTTAAAGTACAAGATTCTAATCAATCATCATTTCGTCCTTGTAAGAATTATATTCGTTTCTTTTTGCTTTTCGTTGCAATGAATTTCTTTTTTTTTATTTGTTTAGTAATTCCATATGAAATAACTATTTATACAGGAGATATTGAACATGCTGGTTGTGATTGTGATGTTAGTTTGAAATTATTTAGTACAACAGGTTCATCATCTGAACATGTTATTAAAAAAAATGAAGGAGATTTTGAACGAGGATCTATTAATCCATTTAGATTCGAATTAGATGATGTTGGTAAACTAATTAAATTACGTATAACAATAATACCAAAGAGTAAAAAAGATCGAAATCGATGGTATTTAGAAAAAGTTGAACTTGCTAAACTTACAAAACAAAATGAACGACAACAAACATATTTTTTTGGTCTAAATGATTGGATATCACGTGAAACAGAATATTATCGTGATATACCATTAACTAAAGGTGGAAAAGCTTTATTAAATAATACAACTTATCGTGTAACAACTAAAACTAGTAGTGTCGATGGCGCAGGTTCTGATTCAAATATATCTATTGTTATTTCCGGTATGAGAAACAAAAATTTAAAACTTTTATACTATTTAAAATAACACTTGTTTTGTTTTTAATTAGGTCAAAATGGTGATAGTGGAGAATTAAAATTAGAAAATTCTTCAACACATATGAATAAATTTGAACGTGATAATGAAGATATATTTACATTTGAAAATATTTTAAGTTTGGGTGAATTAACAAAATTACGTGTATCAAATGATGAATCAGCATTTTTCAAAAAATCTTGGCATTTAGAATATGTTAAAGTTGATGATATACAAACTGGACAATCATATATGTTTCCATGCAATAAATGGTTATCATCAAAAGAAGATGATCGACAAACTATACGTGACCTTGTATGTAGTAATGATTCACCGAATTCAAGTCGACGAGGATCATTAACACCAGGTGGAAAAGTTCCATATGAAATTGAAGTTGTTACTTCAGATAAACAAAATGCTGGAACAACACAACATGGATGGATTGTTATTGAAGGAAATAAAAAGAGATCAGAAAAATTTTATATGAAAAATACTCCACGCAGAAAAATTTTACGAGGGTAAGAAAAATGTTTTTTTCTTTTGAAATATATTGTTTATTAAAATAATATCTATAGTGGGCAAACGGATACATTTACATTTGAATGTCGACCACTTGGTGAAATACGTCGTATTATTTTGGGACATGAGGAACGACCTGAATATCCACTGAAAACATATGAAGGTCGTGAAGCTAAATGGCATGTTGCACATATTACCATTACTGATCCTTCAACAAACACTAAGTAGAAATTTATTATTCACAAAATCTTAATGTTATTTTTTTTGTTGAAACTTTTTCTAGATATGAATTTCCTGTAAAACAATGGATTGATATTAACAATCGTGGTGATGTATTTGATTGTGCTGATAAACAAGAAGATGCTATAGCACAACAACGTCATCGTCAACTAATTAACTATAAAATTATTGTTCATACAGGTACTCTAACTGGTGCTGGTACAGATGCTAATGTATCAATTATTCTTTATGGTACCCTTGGTGATACGGGTACTCGACCATTAAAACAGAAAGGTCGAAATTTATTTGAACGTGATCAAGTTGATGAATTTATTATTGAATGTTTAGATTTAGGTAAGATAAATCTTATTCATTTATCTCAAATAAAATTTTCATTAAAAATAGGTAAACTAAATAAATTACACATTGAACATGATAATTCCTTAATGGCACCTGATTGGTTTCTTGATAAAGTTGAAGTTATAAATATGGATACAGATGAAAAAGTTACGTTTCCATGTAATCGATGGCTTGGTAAAAAACATGATGACCATGAAATTCAACGAGATTTATTACCTATGAATAATTCATAAATATGTGATATTTTATTTCATTTTTTTGTTCTTTTGTTAAACTTACCTCGGAGGTAAAATAAACACGACCAAACAACAAACCTTTTCTTTTCCGCAATAGAAATGTGAAAAAGAATTGAATAATGGTCAACTGAATACAATATAGATGGGGATGTGTGTTTGTGTGTATTTCTCCAATTTTTCTGCTTGACGATAAACGCATCTTCTTTCTTTTTTTTTTCTTGTATTGTTGCTTTTAACAAAATAAATAATTATTATAATTTTTTTTCCTCTTTGGAACAAACATTTATTTAAAATTTGTCACAAGTGACAAAATAACTTTGATGTCCATGTGTGGAACAAGAGACTTTACGAATAAAGATTGTAATTCAATCATGAGTGAAAACAAACAAAATTTAGATATGACAAACTTTATCAAGTATTGCAATTATAGAGAAATATGAATGTTTTGAAGTAATTTTTCAATGAAAATAAATTATGTGAATATGTGTGATAGAGAAGGATTCACTTCAACAATAGTCAAATAAATACATTATCCATAGTCTACCTTTGAAGCATTGATTTTCTCAGAATATTAAATGAAACTATTCTTTGAACTACAGACTATAGTAAAAATTTGCTTTTTGTGTGTATGAAGTACTTGAGTATTTTGAGCAAGGAAATCATATACTATGAACACACATTGAGACCTTTTGACGAGTTCAAGAAGTTAAAATTCTCATTCAAGTGCTTGAACTCTTTTTCAGGCATGTGTAAAGGTGACCACAAACGAAATACTACAAGAAAAGTAGTACGGACTACACAGATTAACAGCATGAGTTCATCCAAATTTCAACCTAGCAATAATAATACTCCACTGAATCTCGTCATCTATTACAACAATGAAAGACATACCTGTAAAACGTGAAATTACTTTTAATTAAATGTTATACGTACGCGGTTTTCAGTATACATGAGTAATTAAATTAAGTTATCCTCTATGACAAGGAGATTTCTTGCGTCCTGAACAGCACAGCTGTCATTATTTTGTTTCAGTTGATCGTTCCAAGTATTCTCATTTGTATGATATTCACAAATCAAGTACATGAAATACTTTAATTGTGCATATTATTCATACAAGAACTCAAGTTTTTGTCTATGGAAAGAAATTTATGCACTATGGACATATTTTCATATCTGTCACTATCAAATATATGAAAAAACAAAATAATTAAAAGAAATAAAACATGTAACATTTTAACATGAAAATAATGTTTATTTGTTCTGAAGAAAACACAAAAGCAGATGAATTAGATCAACTGTGGAATGATCGTCGAAGAATTATTCATATTTTCGCTTACTTTCATGAAATAAGCGATTAGTGACTGAACTTGATAGACTAGATCATCAAATTTCTCTCATCGTGTGGATAGTAGAGCTAATCGACAATAATATATCAAAACATTTAAATAAGACTTCCAATTGTTACCTCTTCAATGAGTCCAGTAATCAAGTTAGTAGACGTGTATTAACAGATATATATTGAGTTCTTAGTTGAGGTCTACACAACAACACACTACAATCAAACCAACGCATGATCATAGAGAAATTGAATTATTAAACTAGTCATCTTATTTATTTGAACTCAATATGAATGAGTAGGATTGATATTTCTGAATATAGATATATTACATTCGAAATTTTAATTTTGAAATAAATTAATAAACTCATTTCAATAGAAGAGAAACTTTTGACACATATGGATTGTTAAACGCAAAATTATTCTTAACATTAAATTTTACTAAAAAAGAATGGTTCATCAATTATGGCGCGATATTCCAAGTAGAAAAGAAATGCAAGTAATCAACAAGCAATTATTCATCGTATTTTTCTTCATTGTTTATTTCTCGTGTTTGAACAGTTTAATAGAATGTCATAAAACATGTATGGGTAAATCATTAACATATCGTGATATTGAAAAACATTTTAATTCATCTTCAAATCTATTTTTTTTATTTGGTATAAATATTCATCGACCATTTCTAAATGAATATGATCAAACACATGCTGATGCTAGCATATTTATTATAGTTATTTGTAGAAGTAATTCATCTGATTGTATCTCACAAGGTGGATCATTACCAGCTGAATATAAACTTGAATTTAGTGTTGATGGTGTACCATATAGTGATAAACATTCAAAAATTCATCGTCTATGGCATCGAACAAAATTAATTAATTATGAATTTCTTTATGAAATATATAATTCTCATTCATGCTATGATAAACCAGAGAATGAAAATGGTTCAATTTGGAAGAAATTTATTATGAATAGTAAGTCGAGATATAAAATATTTGATTTGAATTGAAATTTATTCGTTCTTTTTTTTTTCTAGTGAATTCAAATCAATATGAAAATATTTATTCAAAATGGGTAAATTATAAGTTTAGAAAAACAAAAGAGATTTTTAGATAAAATTTTACAGACTAGAATCAATAAGGTTTTAGTCAATAAAAACTTTTTCGTTTACCATTACATTTCTCTGGGTCGTCAGGAGAAACCGTTAGATTGGTCTTGGACACGATCAGATCCACATTCGGAACCTACTCAGTGAGTCATACTCTGAAAGTAACAGTCACTTATAACTTAATTATTATAGGATTATCGTCAAGACTTT